TGCCAATACCTCGTTGCTTCCTCCCAAGCATTCTTTAAGGAGCTAGGATGGACGGCAGACGCTCAGAGAGGTGACGTGACTGGCCTGAAGTCACCCAGCTGGTCCGTGGTGGCAGAACCTCGATGCAAGAGGAGTGAGCAAGCCCCTCCCACTACTCCCGCTGGCTCCCGCTCCGGGAAAGAGCTCTCTGGAGGAACAAGCACTGGTCCCTCCCAGCCTCGTCTCTGTATGGAGATGGGACACCCTCCTACTTGGATCCCCTGTTCCCCCTACACCCCAGCTGAGCCCCAGAGATACCTGTGTCTCCATTTGCAAGCCCAGCCCGAGGGCAGGCACTGCCTCCGGTTTTCCTCAGCCCACCTGAGCCAGGCCGGCGTTCAGGAGCCAGGAGCAGCAGCCCGAGGCCTGTGAAAATAGTGAACAATCATAAAGGTCAAGCTTGCGGAGTCCAAGCCAGTCCAGTTCCCGTGGACTCCTTGTGTGTCTGGGGACAGTGAGAGTGACCGTCCCATGGACAAAGCACCCGTGAGCCCAGGTCTGGACTGAGCACGCAAGATATGCCTTTTATCTCCCGACCTTCAAGGCAGGTGCTGCAGCCACGCTGGCACGGGCCCCGCGGGCTGGTCCCGCTTCCCGCCTGGGCCCGTTTCTATACCCGCGGACCCCCAGGTCTCCTGAGCCCTGGAGACCACGGCTCTGACCCCACTGAAGCCAGGACAGACCCTCCAGCTCTCCGTGGGCTACCGGCCTGGGTCCATTTCACACCCGTTCACAGTCACAGATGGGGGGAGCGACTGACGAGGCCAGAGCTCCCGCTCAGCTGGGACGCCGCCCCGCCCACGTACAGGAGGCAGCCCTCCCGACACAGGTCCGCAGAACACCGATGCCTGAACAAGCAGTCACCCCACACTCACCGAGGGTTGTACCCCCGACACTGCCACTCTCTCTCCCGCGCTCAAGGATGCACACGCCTTCCTTTTTCTTCTCTTTTTCTCCCACTTATTTATTTATTTATTTGTTTGTTTGTTTGTTTGTTTGTTTAAGAACGAGCATGGAAGAATAGAGAGAGCCTGGATTTGGCATTGGGTTGGTTTTGCCCAATTTCCACCAGCTCTATCACTTCCTAACGGAGGTGGGGGCGGGGGGTGGGGGGCCCTGGGCCAACATGAGATCCGATGCTGGAGTCGCTCCTTCCGCCCCGACCCCGGGCCTCCCCGGGAACGCGTGGCCAGAAGCTCTGGGGGGAGCCCGAGCTGGAAGAGTACAGATGCTGGCACACGGGCGTGGACCCAACGTGTGTCTGACCACAACGAGCCCGCCAGCCAGATCCAGCCCACTGCTCGTTCCTGTGCAAGTTGCAAGCTAGGAACAATTTTGTTTTACATTTAAGAAACATCTGATAAGAAGAAGAGGAGGAGGAAGGGGGAAAGGGGAGGAGGAGGACGAGGAGGACACATGTGGGCTCCAGAATCTATGATGTTTCCTATCTGCCCCTCTCCAGAAAACATTTGCAGACCCCGGATTGCAGTCCCCACCTCCCGTCAAGGGCAATGGCCCAGACCTGCAGAGACAGGTCACCTTGAAAGCAGAATCTTTACATGCTTCTTTCCCTACTAGATGCCCAGGGCCTCAATCACTGGCACGTGAAATCGCTCTGCAAATTTTTGTGGGGTAAAAGCAGGAAACAATGAGTAAGTGAGTGATGTATGGGAAGCACTTGGTAACCTAAAAAGTTCGTGTGTTACAAAGACGAAAATACATACTCGTTCAAAATCTGCGGCCCCTTCTAATTCTGGCTGGGAAGCTGGGCTCTGCCCTTGAACAAGGTCCTCCAAGGGTTCCAGTGCCCTTGAACAAGGCCCTCCATGGGTTCCGGGAGAGCTGGGTTTGGAGCGGCTTTATGCAGAGGCAGAGAATGTCAAGCCAGGCAGCAAAAGCAGAGAAGAGATCCCAATCAGGTGTAGGGGAAAAAATAATTTTCTCTCTCCCCTTCTAGGTTCTTGGCTGAGACTCTACCCCTGTAATAAAAGGCAAATGAATAGGAAAAAACAAACAAACAAGTTTAGTAACATGATATCTCCTGCCTATATGGAAGATACCTAGGTAAACCAAGTAACTCCCCAAAATGGCCCAAGCCAGAACCTTAAATATTATCTTTGGCTAAAAGCAAAAGAAGATATTGGGGGAGGGAGGAGCCAGTCATGGGAGGTGGGCAGGAAAAGCACCACAGTCAAGGTTATAGCTGTGACACAACCTTGTAAGTCCTAGCCTCCTCCACTGAGAAGAGTTTCTAGAGGCTTACCCATCTTCCCCTTCCTGATACAGAGAGAAAGGCACCTTTACAATGGAGATTTCTCTTGTAAGTATAAATGTCCCTTACAAAAGGGCAGTCAGAAAGTCATATTTTGTGTGAGATATTCTGCTTCCCTTCACCTCCTCAGCCTACAAGGTGCACACAGATCACCTGGGGTGCTTATTAGGGTGCAGATTCTGAATTAATACATCTGGGGTGGGTCCCAAGGGTTTGTCTTTTGAACAAGCTCTCTGCTGCTAGTTCACACGTTGAGTGTGGCACGTGTGTAAGTGTGTCAAAGCTCTCTTTTTCATGGGCACCAGCATATCTGCAGACATCACTATGCTTCTAATTTATTTTCTTTTCTGTGGGGTTCAGAAATATGGTGGGGGTCCCCTTGATTCAGAAGAAAGACTATTCTCAAAGAACTACTGACCACAGGACAGTCTCCAATGATCCTGCAGCCTCAGTGGCCAGTAAGAGAGGAGACTAGGAAGGGGCGATGCTGAAGAGGAGAAGCCAGTGGATTCTGGAATAATAGCATCTTCCATTAGTTTCGCTTCTCTTTTCCTGTTGTGATTCCCTTCTGCTCTCACCAGGCCACAGAGAATTCTGTGGCGTGGCCACCCTTGTGTGAACAGTGCTTGCAGAACTGAAGGGCCTGTACCAGTGCTTGGGGCAAGGCAGACCCAGGAAGGCTGTCGGAGCCCAGAGAAGAGGCCAAGAGATGGCAAGAAGTATAGTGCGTGTGGCCCTGGAGCATCAGTCTGGAGCTCTGGGTAACAGATGGCCCAGGACATGGCAGCCCCCCATGAGCATCCTCAGAGGTCTTTGGAGAAGGTAGAAAATGTTCTTCCTTCACACTAAGTCAGTTACGTTTTAAAGACAATGATGGCTTTCCAGGGGCTGAAGAATTTGGGAACACTCAGGCCCATGTTGGTGCAAGATTATTAGTCATGCCCAATGTCCATTTTTATCTTCTCTCTTGAACCCCAAATTTTAAGAATCCCACATTTTAAGCTGGCTCATGGCTATGTAGTGTAGAATATTGGCTGCACTGCACAGCCTCCCTTGCAGCTAGATGTGGCATTATGACCGAGCTCCAGCCAGTGGCATACAAATGGAAATAAAATAGGTGACATATATATTATAGATCGTTACTTTCAAACAAGAGGATATACCCTTCATTTCCCCTCTTGCCCTCCTTATTAACTGGAGGTGGACATAGCAATCGGTGGTCTTGGACCTGGTGAAACGAACACCAGGAGTGACAGAGCAACAAGAGGGAAGGAGCCTGGGTTCCTCCCAATGTGGAGCTGCCAGGTCAACCCGCTGCTTCCATCGAGTCTTGTTTGGTCACTAGTTCTTTGGAATTCCGTGTCACTGAAAAATATGTATTCGATTCTGAAAACAGCTGGAGTCTAGAAGGACCTAAGTCCCCATTTCACGGAGGGTGAGGCCAAACTCCTCTTGATCACCTCAGTGCTTTCCAGTTAACAGACACTTATTAAGGGCTCTCAGGGTTCAGCATTACACAGAACAGACAGATGGGAGTCTGGTCCTAATGGAGCTTACATTTAGTATTATTTCACTTCATCTTTACAGCCGCCCTGTCAGGGAAACCTCACCTGTGCTTCACAGAGGAGGAAATTCAAGACGGAGGGATTTCCAGGAAACCTCCTGAGGTCACACAGCTGGTGACTGGTACCTCCAGAATCCAGTTTTTCCTCATGCCAAAGCCATTCCCTCCCCACGGACCCAGTGGTTTCTAAGCCGTGCTCTGTGTGGGGACTCCACAGAGGTTTGTCGGAGGTTGTCACAGGTGGAGGGTTGTGATGATTTGGGACCAGGGGGAAGGTTTTCCCCACGAGCCCGAGGAAGGCCTGGGATTAGCTCAGAGAAAGACCTGAGGAGACCTCGAGGTCGGGGATGAGGGTCAGCCAGCTCTCAGGGTGAACCTGTAGTGCAGAGAAGCCCCTGAAGACAGACGGGGCTGGAGACCGGTGGCCCCCAGGACGCATGTGCCCTCCACACGCACGAGGCCCTCAGACGCACATCTCTGGGAATTGGGGAGAGATGCCCCCGAATGCAAACTGAGCTGTAAAAGTAGTGATATTTTTTTTAAAGATTTTATTTATTTCTTTTTAGAGAGGGAAGGGAGGGAGAAAGAGAGAGAGAGGGAAACATCAATGTGTGGTTGCTGGGGGTCATGGCCTGCAACCCATGCATGTCCCCTGACTGGGAATCGAACCTGCGACACTTTGGTTCTCAGCCCGTGCTCAATCCACTGAGCCATGCCAGCCAGGGTTAAGTAGTGTTATATTTTTGAAAAATACATCTGAGTTTCTGTATGGCGAGTCATCACACACACCCACACGCACACACACCAAGGAAAAATGATATGAGACCTTCCATAAAGCTTAGCTGGGACTTTCCCTGGGTGATACTATTCTGGGAAATAGCTTTCAATGTCCTTCTTATATATGTCTGGCTTTTTACATATTCCTCAATGAATATTTTATAAACAAGGAAAAAACTAACCAAGGAAAGGTTTGGTTTGGTTTTTAAGAGACAAAAACTCAGTTGTACCCAGAACTGGATTATTTGAGCAGATCTGGTAAGCTCCTGTTCCCAGAAATGCTCAGTGGGTCATTTCCAATCTGCGAAGAGAGCACTGGCGTTCCCTGCCAGCATTGCCTAAGCGAGGGGAGGAGTCCTTGGCAGGGATAAATACACGTTCGCACCTGAGAGGGTCCAGCACCCGGACAGGCGGCGGCTTTGGCATCCTCTTACTACACCCAGCTCTCCGAGGCAGGTAATCCCTGATGCTGCCCCTGCTGGGAGCGAAGGAATCTATTTTTCCAGGGCGGTTCTAGGTCTTGCCCTGGAGCCGTGGGTTGTGAGGAGGGAAGGAGCCAGGAGGAGGTGTGCCAGAGTGCGGGGAGCCCTGAGTCCCGAGCCCGAGTCCTGGTGCCCTCTGAGGACCATCCTCTGTCTGGGCCCTAGTTTTACACCTGCAAACAGGTGGACGTACCACAAGGGCATCTAGGGTCATTTCTGTGCCTGACACTTGGATTCTGCTTTGAGTCAGCCACAAGCCCCACAGAGCTGTGTGTCCACCCTCAGGACCGGACCCCCCCCCCCAGGGGCAGGAGGAGCCTCCCCTCGCCTGGTGCAGGGGGTTGCTCTCAGAGGGCATGCAGACAGAAGTATTGCACTAGGTCCCCTGGGCAGAGGCCACAGGGACTCAGTGGGGGCTGCCCCCAGGCTCCGGCCTCCCCCGACCCTCCCGCCAGCCAAGGAGACAAGCAGGCCGCTGTCTGGCTACCCAAGAGGCTGCTCCGACACTGAGCTGGCCTGCCAACTTGCTCACACAGACAAGCCTTCTGTCTCCAGAAGTAGTTTTGGGGGAAGAAAAAAGGTTGAACTCTTTCCCTAAGAAATGAACGGTTACATAATCCAGAGAGCAAACAGTTGAGGGAATTGAACTGCCTCTGCCCCAGGGCTCGTCCGAAGGGTGTCCCACTGCCTTGTGGGTGGTACTCATTCAGCTCCCTCCCTCCCTCCTCCTCTCCCTGCCCCTGCCCTCCTCGCCGCCTTAGCTGCCCTTCTTCCCTCCGGACTCAGGGGCTGAGTGGGCAGAGGCTGAAGGTAAACAACCCTGTTGGCTTCAGTCCCCAGCTTCGAACCCCCTGGTCCTCAGTGGCCGCATTCCCTCTTCCCGTGGAATCGTAGCTCTGGCCTGTGGTTTCCCCGCAGGCCTGTGAGAGGCGCTAACATCCCTCGAGCACCTGTTGGGAGCCAGGCCCCCCTTGTCCGTCTGTTTCTCTCTCCTGAGTGACTCAGCCTGTTGACTGACACAGGAATGGAGGCTCAGAGAGGTTCGGTTCCTTGCTCGTCACCACCCGGCCATCCCAAGTGGCCAAAATGAAATCCTAGTCCAGGCCTCTGCGACTTGGAAGCCCACATTGCTCCCCTCCCCACCCCCCCAGGATCCCTTCCCAGGCATTTGGGAGAAGAGGTAGGAAAAAGCACCTGCTATCAACTGGGCAGAGGCTGAAAAGAATGTGCTTCCTTTCGGGGGCCGTGGCACTGGCTCTTCTCAGGGCCCCCTCGCTGCGGCTTGGCCTTCCACGCCCTCTCTAAATGAGCCCCCACTGCGGCCAGCTGCCGCGCAGGGAGCACCTACCCACAGCTTGTCATTGTGAGACCAGCACAGGGCTGTGGCCCAGCGCTCCTTCCTTGGGGTGCTCCTTGGGGGGTGGACAAGGGACATACAGGAAAAGGGGCCTTGTGATCTGGTTCCCTCCGGCTGGCGTCTGCTCACCGAGCAGGAGCAGAGGGCGCTTTCTGACCGGTAGCACCTCACGCCCATCACTAGCCTCCCCACTAGAGCCCGGCAACCTGAGCTGCTCACCTCTGCTCTGCCACTGGCTGGCTGTGTGACCCTGGGCAGGCCCCTTCACCTCTCTGTGCCCAGTTTCTCCACTGGAGGACAATGGCAATAATTACAGTACTTGCCTCAAACAGTGAGAGGGAGCACAGAGCGTGATTATGTGTGTTGGGTGCCTGGGAGATAGCTGACACCTGGGAGGTCATGGCCATGAAGCTTGAAGGGGCACGGGGCAGGAAACACCATGTAGGGTGGTGGGAGGTGGTCAGGGCACCACCTGGCCCTCTGAGACTTACAGGAGCTTTGTTTTTCAGAGTCAAGGGCAAAAGAAATGTCATTCCTTCTGGCCCTGGGGCTGCTAGTGGCTGGACTCTGCCCTGCTGTCCATGGCCTCCCAGGGGCTGTGACAGAACAGAAGATTGTGACCCAGGGGGGCCAGAGCAAGGAGACCCCCGTGGACCTCCTCAGGTTTGCCTCCAGCAACACCGACTTTGCCTTCAGCCTCTACAGGCAGTTGGCTTTGAAGAACCCCAATAAGAATGTCGTCTTCTCCCCGATGAGCATCTCCATGGCCTTGGCCTTCGTGTCTCTGGGGGCCCGGGACACCACCCTGACAGAGATCCTCAGCGGCCTCAAGTTCAACCTCACGGAGACCTCTGAGGCAGAAATCCATCAGGGCTTCCAGTACCTCCTGCGCGCCTTCAGCCAACCCGACATCCCGCTGCAGCTGAGCGTGGGCAACGCCATGTTCATCCAAGAGAAGCTGGAGCTGCTGGACAAGTTCAAGGACGATGCCAAGGCGCTGTACGCCTCTGAGGCTTTCTCCACCAACTTCCGGGACTCCGCCGCGGCCAAGAAGCTCATCAATGACTATGTGGAGGAGAAGACCCAGGGGAAAATTGTGGATTTGATGAAGAGCCTTGATGCAGCAACAGTGATGGTCCTTGTGAATTACATCTTCTTTAAAGGTGGGTGCTGGCCCGGGGTTCGGAAGGAAACAGACTTTATTTCTGAGCTGTCAGGGCTGTTGCTGTCCAAGCTCAGTGACCTGTGCTATTAGGGAAACTGCTATTGAGGAGGGTGCCCTTGGCTTGTGTGTGTGCGGGGGTGGGGGGTGGAGAGGGAGCAGGGGCACCGTGGCTGCATCTTCTCCTGGGGTTTCCCGCATCAGCTGCTCATTCCGGGACATGACTGTGGGGGAGCCCGTTGATGCTTATCTGGGCCAGAGTGGTACTTCTTATTCGGACTTAAACTTGTCCCTTCCAGATCGCTCCTGGGTGGGTTTAGGTGGCACAGAGGTTCCCTGCAGGACTGGTGGCCATCGCCGCAGGAAGCTAGCCTCCAAGGAATCTGGCCGTGTCCAGTTCTGTGACTGTGCTGTCCTACAATCTAAAGGGTGGACACGCTGTGGCCACCAGCTGGGAAGAGCCTTGGGGCGGGCACTGTCGGAGACAGGACCCCTTCCCAGTGGGCTGAGTGCCCAGTCCCATATACGGGAATGCAAGAAGTGCAAACCTTGTCCCATGAGTGTCAAAGGGGCGGAGTGTGAGCAGAGAGATTCCACCTCCTGGAGCCAGCAGTCCCCGTGGGGACAAAAACTCAACAGGAATGCAGAGAGAGCATGATCACTGAGGCAGGGGCGGTGAGGTGCCTGACACACACGAGCTGTGGAGAGACATCAAGCCCTGCGCCAGGAGCTCCCGGCCGAGGCCTGGGCAAGCCCTCCGGGCCCGTTTTCATTATCGGCACGTGAGGACACGGAACCGGGCTCCTTGGTCACACGGAGCCAGGCTTGGCGTGTTGCGTTTGGTCTTTGCGTCTCCTGTGTCTTTCCTCCCTACCACCCTGCCCTATCCTGGGACTCTCTCCTCCAAAGTCTCCTACCCAGGGACATGCCGGCCAGCCCAGCTGCTCCCCCGCTTTCCTGCCTCTAACAATGGGGACGCGGGGACACTCAGGGGTGGAAAACAAAGGGGACCGTAGAAGTGGCTACTCATTTCCAAGGAAGCCCCAGATCTCTGATCTGGGGATAATCTCCCCAGGAACCTCCACCCGCCCTGGGGAGTGGGGGGCAGACCCGGGCTCCTGTCCTCAGGTGGTCTTCGCCCTTCCCCGCCCTGGGAACCCCACTTGTGTGCCCAGCCGCACAAGTGGGGTTCCCCTTGTGCGGCTGCCTCAGCCTGTTTTGCAAGCTCCAGGTGTACGCGCCGTCTTGCAGCGCCAGTGACGGACAGCTGGTTTGGCCTTGTAAGGGGTCAGGGGTTCCCATCTCTTCCCAGGCCCAGGCTGCCACGGCACCATCGTGCCCCTCCCCGCTCCCCGAGGCCCGGGTTCTCTCCAGCCTTTCCTATGCCCAGATCCCTGTGGGTTTCTGCTGAGCACGATTAACCAGGTCTTCGGCTCACAGCTCCCTTTCCGACCCTCCCCTGTGAAGCTTCCCCACCTGCCCAGGTGTTTTTGCAAACCATCCCTACGAGGAGCTGTGGCCTGGCTGGTGGGGTGGGGACAGTCCTCGCTGTCCTCGGAGCGGCGGAGGCATGGAGGCAGGGCGGCCCTCGCACTCACCGAGTTCTCCCACCACTCCCTCTGCCTCTAGCCAAGTGGATGACGCCCTTCGAGCCCTACGCCACCATGGAGTCCCAGTTCTACGTGAGCCCGAGGGAGCCGGTGATGGTGCCCATGATGAGCCTGAATAACCTGCGCACGCCCTACTTCCGGGACGAGGAGCTCTCCTGCACGGTGGTGGGGCTGCGGTACACCAGCAACGACAGCATGCTCCTCGTCCTCCCGGACCAGGGCAAGATGGAGGAGGTGGAGGCCGCACTGCTCCCGGGGACGCTGAGGAGGTGGACGGGCTCACTGCAGATGAGGTGCCTGTCCCCGGGCCCTGGGGCCATCGGCCGTCCCCACCCCTCTCCGCTCAGGCCTTGCTGAGGTCCGGGGCAGGTGTGCGATGGTGGGGCAGGCGCTGTGCGTGCAGGATCGCCTCGCCCTTTGCTGCCTGTGTGGCTCTGGGCCTGGGTGGCTTTGCTTCTGTAAGATGATAGCATCAGGTGGGGTGGGGGCTGAGGCTTCCTCGGACCCTAACACTCTCTCTCTCAGTCCCAGGGAGCCTCCACACGACCCCCAACATGCCCTCGTGTTGTCTCCTTGTCTCGGCCTCCTGGGGGCCGAGGGGGTGGGCTGAAGTGTGATCGGTCAAGGGCAGGGGTGAGACAGGCTCTGAGAGGCAGCTTTGCACTGGCTACTACAGTCATTCATTCATTCATTCATTCAGCATTTGTTGAATGGTTAATCAAGCACCTACTGTGTGCCAAGCACACAGACCCTGAGGGTACATCAGCAAATAGAACACAAAATCCCATGGCCTCGTGGAGCTTGCCTTATAACTGGGGGAGAGAGACATTAGATAAACATAATACATAAGTAAAGTATTTGGTGTGTCAAAGGGTAAGAAAGGAGAAGGGGAGACAGTAGGTTTAAGGTAAGAGGGTTAAGAAAACTGGACTGGAAGGTAGTCTGTGATTTGACATTGTAGGTAACATTTGAGTATCAGCATGGCAGAGGTGAGGCACTCAGCCACGTGGGTGTGTTGGGGAAAAGCATTCCAGGCAGAGGGAACAGCCAGTGCAAAGCCTCTAAGTCGGGAACAAGGCTCATATGTTCGAGGACCAGAGAGACCTGAGTGGCTGGAGTGGGCTGAGTGACAGGGAGCGTTGGTAGGTCAGGTCCCTGCTCCCATGGGACTCAGAGTCTCATGGAAGACCCAGTGTCCTTGTGTTTGGCAGCTGTAAGACGAGGCTTGCCATGACAAGAGTCTTAGAGGGGTAGAAACAGTGAGAGAGGGAAGGTCGGAGGCCAGAGTGATCACCTCTGGCCCCAAGAGCCCTCAGCCGGCCCTGCCCGGAAGCAGCAGCAGCAGCAGCCTCTGCTCACAAGGAGCTGGCTGGGGAGGCCAGCTGGGGGCCTTCGGTTACTTCCGGCTCTCGGAAGCCCTTCGCATCAGCCCCTTCATGCCCTTCTCCTAGCCCCCGTCTGACCCCTCCCTCTGTGCCCTCTGCGTCATGGACGATCCCCGCCTTCTTCCCCTGTAAGTTCACGCATCTGCCTCCCGCCCTCCGCTCACCCAGCTAGCTCCTTCTCCTGCTTTGGGACCCAGGCTTGCTGTCACCTCCTGCGGGGAACCTTCCCGGTGCCCAGGGAGCCGGCTGCCCCAGCGCGGCCGCCCGGCATGCCATGAGATCTCTGCTGGGTGACCGTGAGTCCCGCTGCACTGCACGCTTGCAGGGGAGGGCCAGCGCCAGGCGCATGCCCCGCCCCGGCCCCGGCCCCGGCCCCGGCCCCGGCCCCGGCCCCAGCACTCGGCCTGGCACTGCTGACACCAGTCGATAATAATGAATTCAGAAGAAGAAGCACAAGGTCGAGAGAGGGAGGGAAGAAACCCTTACTTCCAGCGAGAAAGGGGTGGTTGGAGGGAAGGCAGGGAGGAAGACCACACCGTGAGGGGAGAGGCAGGTGCACGCCGGGGCAAGCAGATGCTCAAATTCATTTTCCCACTTTTCTAGACCGATAGACCTCTCCCTGCCGAGGTTCTCCGTCTCCAGCAACTACAACCTGGAAAAGATACTCCCCCACCTGGGCATGAGGAAAGTCTTCACCACCGAGGCTGACCTGTCGGGGATCACAGGGGGCAAGAACATGCAGGTCACTCAGGTGAGCCTTCACAGTTGGGACAACGCGCCCTCCGTGTGGGAGTGGGATCGGGAGGGCCGGGCAGTGTCTGGGGACCCTCGACTTTGCACGCGGAACTGCATTTCTCATTGGCCAGTCTCCCGCCCCGGGGCTCGGCGGAGCGCCGGAGCGCCGGGTTATAACGATCCTGGGGGCTGGTCCCCGCAGCCCTGCAGAACCAAGTGACAGAGCTGGTCAGGGGAAGAGCCCGTCGCGGATCCCATCCCGGACCCTGCCCTTTACTGCCTCCGGGGCAAATAATTAAAGTCCTCTTCCCCTCGGTCTTATCATCGGCGACACAGGGTGGTGGGCTTTGGCTCATGTGCAGTGCCCAGCAGCGCGGGTAAGAGGCAACAGGTAGCAACAATGGCTATAGGGCAACTGCAGTGCAGACACACTACGCAAAGGGGAGGAGACCGGGCACCCTGCACTGTGTTCCTAGAAGCAGAGCAGAGGAAAGGGGAGCGGCCGGGCAGCCCTCCGCGCTGTCCCTCCCGCCTAAAGGGCGGGTGTTTGGGAGGGGGCAGCACAGCTTCTGGGCTCAGACAGTGGGGAGCCCAGGCCAGGGCGCCCCTAGTCTCTACCCTGGCCGTGGCATGTCACTCATCACCACAAGCCTCAGTTTGCACACCTGCACAGTGTACCTGTGCAAAACTAGCTGGCAGGGTCGTTGGGAGGGACAGACACACTGAATGAGGTGACCAGCATGGTGACAGGTCAGTAGTGGGTCCTCGGTAAGCGTCAGTCCCTGCAGAGGCATGCAGGCAGGCTGCTTCTCTCCCGCGTGCCCTGCCGCTGGTGGGTAATGCCCTGCTGTCCTCACAGGTGGTCCACAAGACCCTGATCAACGTGGGCGAGAACGGCACGGAAGCAGCTGCCGCCACAGCAATCGCTATTTCCCTCACGTCCATGAGATTCCCAGAGATCAGCGTGACATTCAACAGGCCCTTCCTTTTAGGCATACTCTCCAACGACACCCAGAGCCTCCTCTTCTTGGCCAAAGTCGTCAACCCCAAGGAAACCTAGCGCCCCTCTCCAAGCTGGCTGGGGGAGGGGGGGGCCTTCCCGCTGAGGGTGCCGGGGTCTCTGGGCACAGCCTGGCCCCGCTTGCTCATTCTTGGAAAAGTGCCAGGGACTCTGCCTGGTGGCTCCTACACGCAAAAGAAGTCTACGGACTCTTTGTCCAGGGGCTCTGAGGCTCTCCAGAAGCAATAAACCATCTTCCTTGGACTGCACGTGCTCCTTGTGCCTTTCTGCCCTGACCTGCCAGCCGCCCGTGCATAGGGCCGAGCCCCCAGACCTCCCTCCTGGGCTCTGCCCCGCTGCCCAGGCTGGGGGCCCCCTGCCTTCACCCTCAGCAGCCTGGCCAGGACCCGGAGGGGGGCCTGCCGTGCAATTCCTACGTCTGTGGGCTCTCTGGTCCCCAGGTCCATGGCCACGTTTCCCTCCCCCAGGATCTGCCCACGTGCTGACCCTTGCAGGGGCTCCCCACCCTGAGCATGACGGACACAGGCCCTGGGCCTCTTACTCCTGCAGCTGAGCTGGGTCTTCCCCCCTTGAGGACGCCCCCCTTCCGCCCTCCCAGCACCCCCCAGCCTGAGGAGAGGGGCTGCTTCCCAGGTTCCCAGTTCTGAGTGCTCCCCCTGGCAGAGGGCCACCCCCCCCCACCCCCTGCTCCAGCAACCAGAGTGAGGGCGTGGGAACGAATGAGCAGGAGACACACACCTGCAGTAAAAGCGATCACGCAGTCGCTCACTGCTCTGACGGGGCCCGAAAGCATGTGCGTGGTCTCCGGGGGTCACGCCGGCACCAGCAAAGACGTCAGCGGTGACGAATGCACAGTCGAGATCTTCCTGCCAGGCAAGCTACTGAGACCTCTGCCCCCAGTAACCCCTTCAGTCCTTGTGCCCACCCTGTGAGAGAGGAGCCGTATCATTAGTCTCATTTAATAGGTGAGGACACTGGGGAACACGGGCTTGGTGATCCCCATCCCCCACAAGGCCACACAGCCGGTAGCTGTAGCCAGCAGGGTGTCCTCCCAACCCGTCTGACATCTCAGGACCACTCTAAACCACATAGCGGCTCTGCCCTTAAAGATGATCGCAGTGATGGCCCTCGTGGGCCTTACAGCCTGATGGGCAAGATAGATTATGAAACAAAACCCTGGAAGCTGAGACTCAGAGAGCACCCAACTCAGATGGGGAAGTCAGGGAAGGCTTCCTGAAGGAGGTGACTTCTGTCCTGCCATCAGAGGAAGAGTAGATGATGGTTAAGTCCACAGAGAGGAGAATGTTCTGGGCAGGAGAAAGAGTGATGGGGGCATTTTTTAAAATAACTTAAAAACAGATTTTAATTTAGTTATTTATTTTTAGAGAGGGGAAGGGAGGGAGAAAGAGAGGGAGAGAAACATCAATGTGTGGATGCCTGTCATGTGCCCTCGTACTGGGGACCTGACCCACAACCCAGGCATGTGCCCTGACGGGGAATCAAACCGGCAACCCCTTGGTTTGCAGGCCGGCATTCAATCCACTGAGCCACACCAGCCAGGGCTGATGGGGACATTTTCAAGAAAGCAGAAGAAGCTGGGCAGTTCCGGAGCAAGGACGGATGGTGGGGCTGCGGAGAGGAAGGGACGGGGAGGGAGCTGCCGGACCTCTGAGTGCCAGGCAGCTCAGAAAGGGCTCTGGCGGGGTCCCTTGGGGCCGCAGGCAGCCTTGCAGGAGTTTACACAGAGAGTCTCTGTGCGCAGATTTGCACACTAGAAAAATGTCTCCGGCTGGTGTGGAAGTGACTCAGGGCTGGGGCCAGGAAGGCGGGCTGGACATTCGAGGCGCTGCTGCAGGAACCGAGGCAAAAGTGGGTCCCGGCGGGAGAGGGAGAGAGGGGGCTATTGGAAGGCCGCGAGGAGAGCCCGTGAGGCTCGTGAGTGGATGTGGGAAGAAAGGGGAAGAAAGGAGAAACACCCGCATTCAGGTGGGGCTCCTGGTGGCGGCAAAGGGCTGCCTGAGATAAGACACCAGGAGGAGCAGCGTGTTGGGAGGAGAAGCTGGCACATTCAGACGTGGACACACTCAGAACCCTGTGGTTCCCCGGAGACAGCCACAGGCTCCACTGAGTGCAGGAGAAAAAATCTGGGCTGGAGGGGGGCTGTCAGGATTCCCCCCCGCCCCCGCCGGGATGGGCAGGTGAGCAGTGAGGGGGAGGAGGTCCCCTAAAATGAGTTCCACGGGGTGTGCAGAGGAGGACAATGGTCCACTGTGGGGTCGTCTGAGGAAGGGCCGCTCACTGAGGGGGGGCGGGGAGAACTGGTGGAGCAGTGTTGCCCCAGGACCAGGAGGAGAGTAACCAGGAGACGGGACTTGGGGGTAAACCAGCAAATGAATAGGCCCACGGGGTGCAGCGGTGGCCCCCAGTGTCACGGTACTGTGTGGCAGTCCCCCTTAGTTGACTTCATGATGGCCCCAAGTGCAAGGGTGCTGACATGGGCCATGTGGGGAGGCCCCGGAGAATCCATCCAGTCCTTCCTTTAGGTGAAAAGGCCAAAGTTCTCAACTTTCAGAGAAAGAAAGTGATATGTACGCTGACGTTGCTGAGATCTCCAGTAAGAGCGGGTGTTCTACCTGTGACCGTGTGAAGGAGGAGGAAGAAGAGCGGAGACTTCACAGTCACGCCTCCCGCAGCAGAGTCCTCCCCTGGGCCCTGGCGGCCCCCGCATCACGGGGGGGGGGGCGGGGGGCGAGGACGGGACGGCGGGCTGGTGTGACAGAGAGACCGCGTCCACCTAACTTTTATTCGAGTGTGTCGTTCCGCTCCTTCTGTGTTATTCTGGGTCATTGTGGTGGAGCACTTAGCGCAATTTGTAACTTAAACTCCATCCTGGGTCTGGGTGTACAGGAGAAGGCGCGGCCTAGGGGTCAGTCCCCGCTGCGGCTTCAGGCGCCCACTGGGGTCTCGGAACACATCCCTGTGGATGGGGGGGGGGCAACTGTAGGGACTCACAGCCCTGCGTGGGCCTGGTGTGCATCCTAATTCAAGCAAACCAGCTGTGAAAAAAAAAAAAGGAAATCAATTAGGGAAACAATGGCTTGAAATCCGATGATATTCAGGAATTATGGGTGTTCAAAGGCGTGACACATACTGCCAGGGCGAGGATTTTTACAAATCCTTGTAGATGAAGTGTGGAAGATTTGCTTTAAGACAACCCAAAGGGGAGAGGGAATGGGTGGAGGAAGTGATGTTGTTCTCACGTTGCCATTACCTGCCGATGAGACCGGAGGTTCGCTGCAGCATTCTCTCTGCTGCTGCGTGTGTTTGAATTCTCCTGCCATCCACCTTTGAAACAAAGAACGTCCCTGAGGGCAGCAGCGTGCCTTATTCCCCAGCATGCACTGGGCGCTCCATAGCGAGTGATGAGTGAAGAGACCCCGCTGTATCTCCCTTGAGCGACTATCAAGAGACAGATTGAAAATCCCGAGCTGCCAAACAAGAAGTGGCTGCGTGGGTGTTTATGTCCAGACTGCGTGTGGATGAGGAGAATAAAAATATAGTAATAATAAACGAACCTGGGAGGAAACAAGTTCTGGCTCATACCCAGGAGCCCGCAGAATCCCTATCGGGACACAGGCCACCTTTGCACCCTCCCTGCCTCCCAGCCAGCTCGGGGACAGAGCTTGCATCTGAGCTGCGGAAGTGTCGCAAGCTCTCTTGCTGCCGAGTACACACGGACTTTGTTGTTTGTGCTGCGGAAAGTGGCAAGGTCTATCGACGTTTCTGAAGAACTAGTCACGGCAACTTGGAAAACGCTGCAACCAGAATGAGCAGCAAGCACATTTTAGAGAATCACAGCCCACGTTCCGTGGAGGCAAGAACTGGGACGTGGGCTGTGTCCTGTGCCGCGCCGGGCAGGAAGTAGGGCAGGAAGTAGGTGTCCACAGGTGTATGGCCCCAACAGACTCAGCCTCTCCTCCTATCTACAGACTGTCCACATGCATCCCTGGATTTGACCTTCATGGCAACCTTGAGTGGGAAGAGGGGCAAAGAACAATCCGAGACTCAGGAGACCATCACGCTGTGAATAGGGTGGAAGTGAGACTCAGCCCCGGGACTCGGGGGGCCCCCTGCCCCCTCCAACCCCCATCCCCCCTCCCACCCCTGTGCTCCAGAGCTCCTCCCTGTGCATGGGGTTCCGCACAACGCAAGCCGAGGGGCGGCTGTCGTCCTTGCTGTGGGCTGAGCTGACCGCTGACTTTGGGCCAAGGGCGGCCTCCGTTTGGTCAGTCGGTTGGCCCCAGAGGTCCAGCCTGCCCCAGTCCTCCCCCCAGGGACAGGCGTCTGTGCCCAGGGCCATGCAGACCTGCTGAGTCTCTCCAGCTCTCCTTTGGAGGTTCATGGGAAACATTTGATCTCAGGTGAGCATGGGGCTGTGGGTGCGGCTGGAGTCAGGGGCCCCCAGCCAGCTTGGTGAACCTGCCCAAGGTATCTCATCCCAAGTCACACGTGTGCACACAGACACAGGGGCACGCACACACGTACACTTACTTGCACCCCTCCTGCTCTGAGAACTGCACTTGCAGGCAACAGTCTGGAGCGGTGCTGGCTCACCCTGCCTCCACGGCCTTGAGCATGCTCTCCCCTCTGCTGAACCCCCTTTCCTGCTTCTCTCCTGATCCATCTCCCAGTCCCAGGTCGGGGGCTGCCTCCTCCAGAGAGCCCTCCAGGAACATCCTACCTCCTGCAGCCCCTCTGACTGCCGCTGTTGGGGGGCTGCAATCAGCAATCTGACTTTCCATCCCTCCTGATGGCTGGCGAGCGTCTTCCAGCCGGGGCCCGGGCTGCCAGTCCTGCCTGTCCCCCTGACCCTCGGTGACTGAGCCGGCACAGGACTGAACAAGCATCTCTCGGGCCTCAGTTTTCTTGTCTGCACGATGCTCGAACTGGGTTGTGACCTCCTCTCAGCTCGAAAGCTCTGCGGTTTGGGGGGCCTGCTCACACAGTGCCCTGCACGGATTCTGCGGGCCTGCCCCCAGCGAACCCGAGTCCCCTGAGGGAGCAACTGCTCTCATCCATCCTGCACCCCCGGCCTGTAGCTCAAGCCCCGACAGACCGACAGTTGATGTTTGTTCGGTGAATGAGGGAATGAGTGAATCAATGTTAAATGGAATAAGGGAATGAACTTTTCACCAACTTGTCATCAAAGCAAGGTATTCTCCAAAGCAGATTACCGGGCACATGGACAAATGGAGACCTGTCGGTTCTCTGCCGATAGATAACAACACGGAACAAGCTTTTCACCCATGAGGTGCTCCTCAAGGCCGAGTTCCCCTCTTACAGGTGGAAAAACGGAAGCTTAGAAAGGTCCAGGACTGCCCAAGGTCATGTGGAAAATTCAGAAGCAGGATGGCGTAGTATTGACTAATTCTGTCAATAATTGCCCAATAATTGTCCTGAGTGGACCAACGGGGTCAAATCAGGCCCTTGCTAAAATAAACCCTAGGGTCGATGGGTCTGCTGAGTCAGAATCGCTAGCGGGGGGAGCCTCAGGTTCTCTGGGGTAACAATATCCGCTGCTTCCGGGGGCCTAGCCTGTACCTGGACCTGGACAGGGTCAGCTCGGGGCACGAGTGCTTTGACTTTCTACAACCCTGGACATGGGGGTTCTTAGCATTGTCCCTTGGAGAAGAAGCAGAGGCCCAGAGGGGTCAAGTGACTTGAACACCGTCCCAGTCTCTGGGGTCCCACGTCACAGCGGAGCCTGAGCTGAGCCCAGGTCTCCAGGACTCCTCCCCGCGCAGCGAAGGGCCTGCTGACCTATCCCTCCTCGGGGGCTCTCTGCAAGTCCGAGAGCACCCCCGGGTCACATCCTGGGATGGGGCAGAGCCAGGATTTGAAGGGGGGTCAGCTGGAGGAGGGGTCTGAGAGTGTCCGATGAGACCCCTTCCCTGTGTGTGAGCAGGAAGGAGGTGGTTGGGAGAGAGGGGACCCAAGGGGACCGCCCCACCCAGGGCAGAGGGTGTCTTCCCGAGCCACAGAGACAGCTGGAGGAGACTCAGCCGACTGGAGACCTGCACGACTCAGGACTGCTGCCCCTGGGGACAACCAGAGCCTGCTCATGCGCTCTGGGGCCGGGGCGCTCCCGGCGGGTGTGCAGGGTGTGAGTGCGTCTGCTCAGACAGGGCGTCCGTGTGGGTGTTCCTCTCATCTCCTCGTGAATGCACCCCACACAGGCTCGGGGCTCAGGTCCTCACTCCGCCACCCACCGCTGTTCCACCTTGGGGGAATCCCTGACCCCTTCCGGGCCTCTGTTTTCCTACCTGTCAAATGGGGCTAGAAACACGGTGCCTCCCCCACTGGGCTGTGGGGAGGCTGCGAGAGGACACGCCGGGGAAGTAGGTGCACGGTGCCCGACACGGGGTGGACGCTGTGTGACTGTCGGTGATTACAATGACAACTGTCGTTCTGCTGTCCCCCCCACGCGCCTGCTTCCAGGCTGAGGACGCCGGAGGATGGGGGCCCCTCCGTGGTGGCTGCTGGTCCCTGCGCTCGTGGCTGTGGGCCGTTGTCTGGCCCCGGCTGGCCAAGAAGATTCCGACCCCGTCCACGCCGACCCCGGGGACGTCCCTCCGCGGCCGGCCCTGCCCTGCCACAAGCTCTCCGTGAGCAACATAGACTTCGCCTTCAACCTCTACAGACAGCTGGCTTTGACCTCCCCCAGAGAGAACATCCTCTTCTCCCCAGCGAGCATCTCCTCGGCCCTGGCCGCGCTGTTCCTCGGAGCCCCTGCGGCCAGCAGGGCCCAGCTCCTGGAGGGCCTGGGGCTCAACCTCACCGTGGTGCCCGAGGCCGAGATCCAGGAGGCCTTTCAGGACCTGCTGCTGCGGCTCCCCGCGCGGGACCCCCGGCTCCTCCTGACTGTGGGCCAGCGCAGTTTCCACAGCCTGGGCCCCGGGGCTGGGCGGGACCCGGCGGAGGCCCAGAAATGCATCCAGGAGTACGTAGAGAAGCAGACCCAGGGGAAGCTTGGGGCCTGGGTGGAGGAACTCGGGAACGAAACCGCAGCAGTCCTTGTGAATCATGTGCTTCTCAGAGGTAAGACGGTGTGTATCCAACGTGGAATCTCCTTCTGGGGACTGGGCTCCGGTCACACCGCAGTCCTGCTCCTTGCAGCACCCAGAAAGCCTCCCCTGCTGACTTCAACATAGGAGGTCCACTGAATCCTCAACATTTCTGCTTGAATGCCTCCAGTGACAGGGAGCTCATCACCTATCCCATTCTAATGCTACTTACTGAGATTTTCTTTAAAAAGAATTCTTCCAACTTGAGTGTGCGTAAGTACTCCTCAAACAACTTGTTTAAAATGCAGGTGTCCTGCACTGATCCCTAAAAGATTCTGATTTAAGGAGTAGGTAAGTCAGGGACCCAAGACCCTGCATTTGAAGCAGGCCTCTTCCTCCCCCCCCATGGATGATTCTGCTGTAGGAGGCCCTGATGTCCACTTTGAGCAACCCCAAAAGCAACCGCATCAAGGAGCGTGAATGCCCTTCCTCCAGCAGGTCCCAGAAGGCATGGGTTACAGCAGGGAGCACCCCAAGGCAGGGAGACCCTTTATTTGTCCCAAAACAGCCAGCAAGGGCGCACGCCTGACTCCGCAGAGGCCTCCTGCCCTCCTCACCCTGTGCGGTGCTCTGCGGGTCTCCGGGGGTGTTCGCGCTCCCAACTCACTCCACCTCCTCCCGTGGGGGAGGCTGGCAGAGCTAGGATGGATGTGCCCACCTCACAGGTGAGCAGACAGGCTTTTAAACCGAAGAAGTGAATGCCTGAGCCACTCAGGCCTTCCTCAAATACACGCCTAGGAGTACTTACCGTATGTTTTCTGTAGGCGTGTTTGCACACACACACACATACAATTGAAGTGTAAAGTCCCTATTATCACACTGGTCACTGTGCCTATTTATTTAATTTTTATTGAATTCCCCTCGAGACCCAACAGGGTGGTTATTATTGCGTCCACTTGAGAGACGGAAAGCCGAGGCCCGGTGGGCGGCCACTTGCCTTACACCGGCAAGCCGGGCAGAGCCTCGCCTTCAGATCCACGCGTTTGCAGAGCGGCCTGTACCACGTGGTGCATTTTTTCCCTTTAAAATTCGCCACCTGTGAACGAGACCAAGGAGACCAGAGGGTGAAATAGTGCTTCCACTAGCATAAAAGTATTGCGACACTGTGACAGCACGTATCCCCATTTCGCACACGAGAGACGGAAGCTCAGGGCGGCCCAGGGTTCGGTCCCCCGGGTCACACAGGTGACAGAGGACAAGCCGAGAGGGAGTGATGAAGCCGGGCGTGGCGTCCGTACTGTGGACTCCCCACTCCCACGGGCTGCCACATGGGTGACCCCCCAGCCCATTCTCAGTTCCCTCCATGGTGACATCAGCGTCTCTCCGCCCTCAGCCGGGTGGGCGAGACCCTTCGCCCCACAGGCCACCCGCCCGAAGGAGTTCTTTGTGGACGAGCACAGGACTGTGCCGGTGCCCATGATGTGGCAGAAGGCCCGCCACCGCTTCCTCCACGACCCCGAGCTGCAGTGCACCGTGCTGCAGATGGACCACGCCGGGGACGCCGCCACCTTCTTCGTCTTCCCCCAGCGGGGCGCGCTGGGGCGGCTGGAAGACGCCCTGCTGCCCGAAACCCTGATCAAGTGGGACAGTTTGCTCAGGACCAGGTAGACGGCTCCTTGCCGCCTTGCTCAGCCACCATGCAGAGCCCTCAGTCACTGTCACCCCAGGGCACTGTCACTCCCAGGGCACTGTCCCTGGCCTCCCTGCAGGGGTCAGGGTGGGACCTGGTCGGTGGCACTGGACCAGGAGTCGGGGCCAGGTGGGGGGCACGGGTTCTAGTCCCAGCTCTGGTGCCAACCTGTGTGACCCCGTGACAGGCAGAGTTCAACAGTGGGGGACAGCATGCACTTTAGAAAGCTCTCTGTCTCTGAGTGGGGGCTCCGGGGGCAGAGAGACCAGCGGGGGGTGGGGACCAGGGTGAGGAGGCCGCGGGCCTGCGGCTGCTGAGGGCGGAGGCTGGAGCCCGCTGAGGCCCCTCCGCCCTCCCTTTCGGGGCTTCAACAGCAAACCCGTTCTGTCTCTCCACAGGGAACTCGACTTCCATTTCCCCAAATTTTCCATCTCCAGCACCTCCCGGCTGGAGCTGCTCCTCCCCCGAGAGCCGGTGGGCGGAGGCCCCCCCGGGCAGCCTGGACTGAACATCTCCAGGGTAAGCCGGGAGTCAGGGTCCGGGCGGTGGCGGGCTCTCCGCGTCTGTGGGCCCCTGCTGGGGGGAGACGTCCAGGGTCTCCTTACACACACGGGTGCGGCTGTTTCTGTAGCTTTGCAGGTTACTGTGTATTTGTTCTCTGCATTTCCTCCACATTACTGCACACCTACCACCCAAGACATGGGGGCCCACGGGAGTAGGTCCCCATCCCCGCCCTCAGGCGACAGACGAGGAAGGGGAAGGAGGGGACAGGTACGCAGAGGAAGCTCCCTGCAAGGCATTCCTGCTCGTGGGCCTGGGACAAGCTGCGTCAAGCAGGGACTGACAGGGAACACGGGGACAGCCTGGGAGGAGACGCTGGTGCCATAGAAACTGAGAGTCCCTCATCTGGGTGGAGCAGAGGACCTAGAGGGCCCTGAAGGCCACGCTGGTGACCTGGAACTCTGTCTTGAGGCCATAAGGGATGGACTCAGAGTTGTAAGCATGACCGTACTTGTGCTCTAGAAAGATTCAGAAAGATCTGCAGAAGGGCACAGGTCAGCCCGGCTCGAGGTACCGAGAACAGAGGGCAGCTTTCAGGGCTGGGGGCCCCGGGGAGACCCACGGGAGGAGGTAGCGGGAGGGGGAGCTCGGGGCTCACAGCACCACCAGCCTCGCCTCCACGCCGCCCACGCCGGGCCTCACCGGGCACTGCTCTGGGCCAGGCACCATGGCCGCGTCTCACAGGACGTGGGTCAGGTGCGTGCCGTCATTCCCATTTCCCAGACGGGGCGACCGAGGCTGAGGGAGGCTAAGAAAACCGCCCCAGGTCACGACTGCTACTCAGTGTCAAGCCCAACTGAAGCCGTTTAACATCAACGGCCTACATTCTTTTTCGTTTTTTTTGTCCTTTAAAACACTTTTTAAATATATTTTATTGATTATGCTATTACAGTTGTCCTGTTCCCCCCTCATACTCCCCTCCACCCTGCACACCCCCTTCCCACCCACATTCCCCCCCTTCAGTTCATGTCCGTGGGTCGTACATGTAAGTTCTTTGGTTTCTACGTTTCCCAGACTATTCTTACCCTCCCCCTGTCTATTTTCTGCCCACCATCTATGCTGCTTATTCTCTGTACCTTTTCCCCCTCTCTCCTCCTCCCACTCCCCTGCTGATAACTCTCCATGTGATCTCCGTTTCTGTGGTTCTGTTCATGTTCTAGTTGTTTGCTTAGTTTGTTTTGTTTTGCTTTGTAGGTTTGGTTGTTAATAGCTGTGAGTTTGTTGTCATTTTACTGTTCATATTTTTGATCATCTTCTCCTTAGATAAGTCCCTTTAACATTTCATATAATAAGGACTGTGATGATGAAATCCTTTAAGTTGACTTTATCTGGGAAGCATTTTATCTACCCTTCTATTATAAATGACAGCTTTACTGGTTAGAGCAATCTTGGATGTAGGTCCTTGCCTTTCATGACTTGGAATACTTCTTTCCAGCCCCTTCTTGCTTTCTTTTGAGAAACCAGCTGACAGTCTGATGGGAACTTCTTTGTAGGTAACTGTCCCCTTTTCTCTAGCTGCTTTTAAGGTTCTCTCTTCATCTTTAATCTTGGCTAATGAAATTATGATGTGCCTTGGTGTGTTCCTCCTTGGGTCCAACTTGTTTGGGACTCTCTGAGCTTCCTGGACTTCCTGGAAGTCTATTTCCTTTGCCAGATTGGGGAAGTTCTCCTTTATTATTTGTTCAAATAACTTTTCCACTTGTTGCTCTTCCTCTTCCCCTTCTAGTACCCCTATAAATGGATGTTGGAACGTTTAAAGATGTTCTGGAGGTTCCTAAGCCTCTCATTTTTTCTGAATTCTTGTTTCTTCATTCTGTTCTGGTGGAATGTTTCTTCCTTTCTTCTGCTCCAAACCGTTGATTTGAGTCCTGGTTTCCTTCCCGTCACTGTTGGTTCCCTGTAGATTTTTCTTCATTTCGCATAATGTGACCTTCATTGCTGCTGGGGTCTTTTTTATGCTGTTGAGTAACCAGTGAGTTCCTGGAGCATCCTGATAACCAGTGTTTTGAACTGTGCATCTGATAGGTTAGGTCTTTGTTGCTTTGTTGTATTTTCTCTGGAGCTTTGAATTGTTCTTTCATTTGGTCCGTATTTTTTTTTTTTTTTTGTCTCAGCAGGCCTGTTATGTATAAGGGGCGGAGCTTTAGGTGGTCACCAGGGCAGGGCAACCCATGTGGCTGCCTTGTGACGCTGTATGTGGAGGAGGGTCCGAGAGGGAACAATGCCATTTGCTCTGCTCTCTGCCGGCTTTCAGTCACTTCCCCTGCTACCCACAAGCAAATTGGGCCCTTCTGGTGCTGATTCCCAGGTGGGTGAGTTTGTGTATGTACTAGGACCCTGTGGGCCTCTCCAACGAACTCTCCTGTGAGGCTGGGAGTTCCTCCCGCCACGGCCTCAACCCCCACAGGTGTTTTCGATCAGAGGTTTTGAGGCTTTATTTCCCGGAGCTGGAGCCCCGGGTTGCATGGTCTGTCTCGCTCCCCAGTTGTTCCTCCCGGTTTATCTGCACGCAAAGGTGGGACCACCTGGTCCTCCAGCCACCGCCTTGCTGAGAGTCCTCTCTGCCCAGCTGCCTGGCTCCGCCCCTCCTACCGGTCTGAGTGAGTGTTTCTTCTTTAACTCCTTGGTTGTCAGATTTCCATAGAGTTCGATTTTCTGTCAGTTCTGGTTGTTTCTTGTTTTTAAGTTTGTCGTTGTCCTCATTTTGGTAGTGCAAGGAGGCACAGCGTGTGTCTACCTACGCCTCCATCTTGGCCGGAAGGACATTCTTTTTCTTGAACGGCCCTGGGTCCCTGTGGCCTCCTTGTCACACACACATTCTGAAGGGACAGTGGAGGGTGAGTGAGGGAGTGTGGGCTTTGAGGTCAGACAGACCCAAGCCCAAGCCCTGGCTCTGTCCCGTCCTGGCTGTGGGACCTCGGGCCACACCACTTGGCTGAGCCTCGGCGTCCTCGTGGATAACCGGGGGCCCTGGGCCCCGTCGGAGGGGCTGGGGAGGGCTGGGCCCTCGGACTTCAGGTGAGGCGGTCGTCCACAGGCAGCGGTGACGACGAAGGTGATGCGTTGATAGCGTGGGGAAGGTCCCAGGCGTAGATCAAGTTCAGGGACAGAGCAGAGAACAGAACAAGTACAGCCTAGGGCGGGGCCGGGAAGGCACGACAATGAACAAGCAAAATACATGCTCACACGCGGGTGCCAGGAGGTGAACGAAAGGTGCATGCAGAGCAGGTGGGCCGGTAAGGGAGCGAGCGGCTAGCTGTGGGGCTCGGTGAGGGACTAGGAAGACTGGTACGAAAGCCAAGGTCTGGTTGGTCCCTCCCGTGGGGTCCGGTGACGACGCCCGAACTTCCCTCGCAGGTCACTCACAAGGCTGTGATGGTTCTGGATGAGGAGGGCGCCGAGGCCGCTGCTGCCACCAGCATCCAGCTCACTCCAGGGCCCCACCCTGACCTTGACCCCACACCCGCCCCGGACACCGGGTTCCATCGACCCTTCCTGGTGATGACCTTCCACATGGAGACGGGAAGCCTGCTCTTCCTGGGGAAGGTGGTGAACCCGTCGGGGTGACTGTGGGGTGCGCCTGGGAGCGGGGGGGGGGGGGGACGGAGTCGGCAACCAGGGCTCCGCGGGGGCCCTGGGGGCCTCAGCAGGGTGCTCGGGGTTCCTGCTCCGTCTGGAAGTGAAATGGGAAGTATTCCAGAGTGCGATGGCGGTGGGTGCCCCTGCACAGGCTTCCCGCAGCCGCGGAGGAACCCCTGCCTGCGCGCAGGGATCCCCTGCCGCAGCACCTCGTGCAATGAGACAGCACGCACGCCCGGGCTCTGCACGCCTGGGCTCTGTCCTTCCTGCGGTTCTCACGGGGGACCGCGGGGCGAGGGCAGAAATGGGGGGTCGAGGCGGCGCTAGCGAGCGAACATCTGCTAAGCACCAGATGCGTCGTACATTTTATCTCATGTTAAAATTAATTTCCACAACAGCCTAGCAAGATTAGCAGCAGGTTGAACCATATGAGACTGATTATAGTTGGCCTTTTTTCTCTTACCCGCACCAAAGGGCGACCTCGTGTGGTTTCACCTGATACTCATTCTCCCTTCTTCTAGCGCAGGCTGAGAATTTAGGGCGCATGCTCAAGGTCACGTGGCTAGTCGGCCTAGCTGGGATTTGGGGGCTGTTTATTTCAAAGCCCGAACTCTGCATTTTCATCCATTTTGCTAAGTCAGTTTCTCGCTTGCTTGCGTGCACAAATCCCCTGGCATCTTGGGGAAAACAGATTTTGATTCAGCAGGTCCGGGCTGGAGTCTGAGGTCTGTTGTTCCCCACAAGGTCCCCGGATGCTGAGGCTGCTGGTCAGGTGACCACACGGGAGCAGCAGGTGCTAAATGCTCTGTCTCCATGACCCAGGGAGGGGTTGAGCTGGTGTGGTCAGCAGGGCAGAGGAGTGGCCCTGGACCTCGATGCATCCATGGGGCTGAGCACAGATTTGGCAACACCCTATGAAGCCAGCTGACAAAGCTAGCTTTGGGTCGCCTGTTAATGAGCATTTTGGAGGGAAATAAGTGCCCCAAACCAAGGCTTTTTTGCCCATTCTAGGCATGCTGTGGGGGCTATGCTCCACGTCAGTCATTGCAACTGAGACCTAGGCTGTCAGCTGGCTCCTGTCCCTGTGTCTCCGACTGCACAGAAGGAGTGACACAGGTTTTGGGGCCAGACCCACCCAAGACCAAATCCCACCCCCAGCTCTCTAGGTGCCACCGGGGGCGGTGACGGGGACTGCAGGCAGACCCAAAGAGCCAGCTGAATGCCACTCAAGGCGCTGTGGCGTGCGATCCCATTAAAACTTCATTTCACATTTACTGCCAGAAATAAAACTTACTGATATTTTTCCTCTTCTCAAGTGAGAAGGTGCCCAACAAAGCACCAAAGAGTCAGGAAAGTTGGCCTCTCCAGAAAGGGGAGCCCCAGAGCCACTGAGGGTATCCCCTAAAAAAGATGGTGAGCAGCCCCAAAGTGCTGGAAACTGGATGTCTTCTTACATTTTGCTTTTTGAGGGTTGATAGTGGGGGGTCCTAAACCCTAATGTGTACGAGGCCAGGTGGGCAGTAGACAGTGATTGGGGAAAAAAATAACAGCACAAGTTTAGTAGCAGATATCACCTGACCGTGGTGTTGGGGAAACGTAAGGAGTGGTGGGGACTGTGGTAAACTGGAAAGTGGGGCTTCACCTAAAGGGGGCACCCAGTGGTGGCCTGCCTGTGACCGTGGCTTAGAAGAGAGAAATTTAAATTTTGCCCTCATATAAAAGTGCCAGTGTGAATGGTAGCTCTAGTTCACCCCGTCATCATGGAACCAGGCTTCTTCTAAACTGTGGGCCTGCTATTCCTAGGGTGTCGTCTTCTTCTGGATGTTTGAAGACCACCAACCCACGTCTCCACCTTCCAGCCAGCAGGAAGGGGGCAAGGGAAAAGGGAGGGCAAACTCGCTCCCTTTAAAGGTACAATCCAAGAATGATACACATATCTTCAGCTCTCTTCCTATTGGCCAGTATCTGGTCACGTGACACACATAGCTGCAAGAGAGGCAGAGAAATGCCATTTCTAGCTAGGGTGGCCCTGTGCCCAGCCCAAAACTGGGAGTTCTCTTAGTTTAGAAGAAGGGGTGATTGGTTATTAGGGACGCTCCTGCACAGCCTCTGCCTCAGCTCCTGCCAGCCTCAGTTAGACCTTGCAGAAAGGTGTCCAAGGGTTGCTGGCTTTTCAAGTTTTGAGAGAAACTAAAATCCGGGTTTTTATGTAAGAAATGTTTCCATTTTTGAATCTTGGCAACACATTCAATTAAAAAAAGAAAAAGAAAACAACCAAGCAGCGAACAATAAGGGAGGTCAGTGAAGCGAGCCGGGGACCCAGAAGGCATCAGTCAGAGTGGAGGTCAGTGTGCAGGGTCCCCGAGGCTGGCCCTGGCCCAAGGTGCCTTGGGTTGACTGAGGAGCCCTGGGGTGTGACCCGGACTGAAATCCCCGGCAAACGTAAGTCTGGACCCAGAAATCTCTGACCACGGTTGACAAAAAAACCTGCAAGACTCATCCTTTAGACGATTTCTGTCAACAGAGCCAGTTTATACGAAGACAACTAGCACGACAATGTCAGCGATTTTGCTGACGTGAAGGCAAATGCAACAAGTGTTATGGGAAGCATATGAAGATCTGTGACATACCCGTGTCTGTGTTTTGTTTCCCATCCAAACATGATCGGCCCTAGACACGTGCAAGGAAAACTAACCTCGGTCATCGCTGGTGTTTCGCTGGTTTTCAGTCGTGTACAACTATTGCTGTATACAGAATCTTCAGGTCTTTTGTTTTGAGGGTCTTGTCTTTCAAGGGAATTTAAGAAACTTTTTATCTATACTCAAAGACACTTTTTTCATTGTGTTTAGAGACAGAGGAAGGGAGAGAAAGATTAGAGAAGCATTGATGTGAGAGAAACATTGATTGGTTGCTTTCCATACACACCTTGACCAGGAATCGAACCCACAACCTTTCATTGTATGGGATGATACTCCAACCAACCAAGCCACACCAGCCACAGCTCAAGGGATGAGCTTTATCCAGCAGTTGGTTTTAGCTTGACTGATAGCTTGTTGGTCTTTGGGCGCATATGGAAAGCGGTCCCCTTTCGTACTTTGTTCCTGGAGGACCTAGCTGGGAGACACCCTCTCTGTCCTGGCAAGGACCCCCACCTGTCCCTTCCGGCCATTCCCACCTACCCCTGAGCGGCCATTCCCAAGGCCCAGGCGACCCCATACGTCTGTGAGGGAGTGACAGGCTGGTGTCCTGCTCGAGGTACCCCACCTCCTCCCTCCCCAGTGTAAGGGACTCATTCCTGCTGGTCACTCTGATCTGGCCATTCATCTGTCTCTGTCCACAGAAGATCTGGTCCCAGTCCTCAGGCACCCACAGTTCCACAGCCGGAGGGGCCCCTGGCTGTCTGGTGATGTGGTTCTCTGTTCTGTGACCCGAAATCCCTGTAACAATGAAGCTCAAAGGCTTTTTTGCCTTCTGGGGCAAGCAAGCCCCCCAGCAGCACAGGAAACATTGGGTCAGGTCGCCCTGCCTCACGCAGGGGAGCCTGATGCAGTCCCCACCTTGGGGGTGCTCACTTGGGGCCGTGCCCACCAGGGCCGAATGTCAGACAACCCTGGCTATGGTGGGGGGCGAATTGAGGAAAGATCTAGCTCGACGAGGAGGAGAGGGGGCAGGTGGCCCAGCGGGGAGACCCTGGGAGCCTCAAGTCCGAGGGGCAGCAGGATGCTGGCTGCTAGCTGTGTGACCATGAGCAAACGTGTCTGTAAAATGGAGCCTGGAATGACGCTGACCCCCCACCAGGGGCCGTCTCAGAGCCCGACATCCTCCCCAGTCCTCACTACGACCCTCTGAGGAAGAGGCTCCTTATGTTTGGACAGCAGAACAAACTCAGGGACAGAGGCTTAAGTACCTTCCTCCCCTGAGTCCCCACAAGGAGGCCATGTCTGCCCGGAAGCCCCCAGTGTGTGTCCCCCACACATCCCCTGAGCCCTGAGCCTCCCTCCTGGGCATCCTGGGTCTAGTGTCCATCTCTCGTGCCTACAGCACAGAGAACCACACCTAAGCCACCTTCCAGGGGCCCGAGGCAGTGCCTGGGCCAGGATGGGCAATGGAGGGATGCTCGCCAGCTGGACCTGTGCAGACCTGGGCCGTCCCCACATGAGAGCAGAGGACAGAGGAATGGAGGTCCAGGAGAGAGAAAGAGAGGTGTGAACACAGCCCACCCTCGGCCTTACACACACACACCCACACACACACACACACACACACAGCAGGCTAGGGTAAGAGGGAAGGCAGGCCCCCAGTGGGGGACAGCCGCAGAGAAAGGCAGCAGGGAGACAGGAGAGAAAATTGCACCGATTCCCAGAGCAGAGCAAGAAATTGTTTCCAGAGGCAGTTTGGAGCTGGCCCCCGGCCCCTGCAGACCCGTCACTTAGCAGGTCCAGAGGTCCCCTTGCAGCTGCCAGGGCCAGGAGGAGGCGGGGGACGGGCAGGGGCGGACGGGGCCTGCTGGAGAAAATCTCCCCAAACCAGGCTTGGCATCCGGGCCTCCGACTGCCCTGAGCCTGGGGGCGGGGGGCAGAGAAAAGTGGTCCAATATGGCTGGTCCTCACGTACACCCCCCCCATGCCCATCTGCTCATCACACAAGAGGCCGGGCGGGTAACCCGAGAGTCCCAAAGGTGTGGCCCTTGAGGCCAGGCCGTCCCTAAGCAGGGGGCTCTGTCTGCTGGGTCTGGGGTCCGAGAATCTCAAACACAAAAAGCTCACAGGAAGCTCTGGAGGAAATGCAGCGTGAAGTGAGGGGACCCAGCAGAATCCCTCCTTTTGTTTCCTTTTGTCCTCGGAAAAACATTCAACACGAGATCCACCCTTTTAACACACTTCTTTTTTTTTTAAAGATTTTATTTATTTATTTATTTATTTATTTATTTATTTATTTAGAGAGGGAAGGGAGGGAGAGAGAGAGAAACATCAATGTGCAGTTGCTGAGGGTCATGGCCTGCAACCCAGGCATGTACCCTGACTGGGAATCGAACCTGTGACACTTTGGATCGCAGCTTGCGCTCAATCCATTGAGCTACGCCAGCCAGGGCCTTTAACACACTTCTAAGTGCATGATTCTGTATCATTATCTGCAGGAACAGTACCGCGCAGCAGACCTGGAGAACCCTTCATTTTTGTGTAATACAACTTTATATCCACCGAATAACGATTCCCTGTTTCCCCCTGCCCCCCAGCCCCTGGCGTCACCATCTAGGTCTTTCCTCTCGTGAGTCCGGCCACTTTAGATGCGTCACAGAAGTGGGCCAATCGGTCTCTGTCCTTCCGCGTCTGGCTCACTCAGCATCACGTCCTCCAGGTGCAACCACGTGTCACAGATTCCGAGTTTTCTTCTTTGTTGAGGCCAAATAATATTCCGCTGTATGTAAAAGGTGCAAAGAAAACTCACAGAATAGGTGAAATTTATTTCCAGACCATGTGGCCGACAAGATGTTACTATCCAAAATGTAGAGGGAACCCCTACAATGTAATACCCAAAACACAAACAACCCTGTTAAAAATGGACAGCTTTCCTCCAAAGAAGACACGCAAATGGTCAACCGTTTTGTGAGAAGATGCTCAGCGTCACCCATCACCAGGGAAATGCACCTGGAAACCACAAGGAGGCGTCGCCTCACACCAGTTCGTACGACCATTATCCAGCAAGCAAGAGGTGAGTGCCGGCAGCGACCACGCGGGGGAGTCGCAACCCTTGAGCACTGCTGGCGGGAATGTCAGCTGGTGCAGCCGCTGCGGGAACCAGCCTGGAGGTGTCTCAGCAAACCAAAACTGGAGTCAGCAGATGGTCCAGCACCCCCGCTCTGGGTATGTTTGTCCAGAAGGGCTGAATCAAGGTCTCGGAGAGACGCCTGCCCCACCGCGTTCATTGCGGCATTGGTCACAGTAGCCGAGCGGTGGAGACCGCCTGAACGCCCGTGCAGGGACGGATGGATAGCAAATTCCTCTCGTTCCTGTCCTATTTCAGTCTTTGTCGTCACATGTCAGAGCGGGCAAAGGTCCCCAGAGCCTGCCCTCCTGCGCTTTTCAAACGAAGCTTCTCTGAGGGGCAGAGGGGCCAGCAGGTGGCGCTCCGTGCCCCCATCCTGCCCTGGGGTTGGGCGGCTCCGCTCCCTGCTCGGGAAGTAAGGTTTTGGCTAAGAAAGAGGTTGCACTGCTGAACATGGTTAAAATGTAAATGATTCTTAATGACATCAATGGTTGATACAGAATTTAATTATTTTCCCGGGGAGGGGGAAGTGGCAGGTACTGTCCCAGGGTCTGATGGCCAGAGAGGACAAGAGGCCGGCCTGCGGCGCTCAGGCCTCTGAGTCAGGCCACCCTAGGGCCTCTTTCTCGCTCTGCTCTCCCTCCCTCCCTCCCTCCCTCCCTTCCTTCCTTCCTTCCTTCCTTCCTTCCTTCCTTCCTCTCTCTCTCCCTTCCTTCCTTCCTTCCTCCCTTCCTCTCTCTCTCCCTTCCTTCCTTCCTTCCTCCCTCCCTTCCTTCCTTCCTCCCTTCCTCCCTCCCTTCCTCCCCCTTTCTCCTCCTCCTCCTCCTCCTTCTCCTCTCTCTCTCTGTCTCTCTCTCTCCTGCTCTCTTTTGCTGCATGACCTTGAGCAAGTCCCAGAATTAACTTCACTGACCTCGTAAAAAAGGGTAATTTAGTGCCTCCTTGTTGGGGTGCTTGGTGAGGTACCTGAGTGACTAACCCTGAAGCACTCAGGAGCATGTCCCCACGGCTGCCTCACAGGGTCTGGCTGCTATTACCCGGGCTGGGGACCTGGGGACCCAGCTCTGGTCCCCGCTCAGCCGGGGACATCTCCCCCCTCTCCCTGCCCCCGCTCTCTCACCTGCTCAGCGAGAACTTTGGCCCAAAGCGGGGGTTCTCACCTGGCTACAGATGAATCACCTGGGAAAGTTTTTGCGAGTGCTGACCCCCAGGCCTCACTCCCACGACTTCTGACGTCACTGGTCTGCAGGGGGCTTAGGTGCCGGTGCTTTTTCTAAGTTCCCTCTGCATGCTCATGAGCCACCAGAGCGGAGAGCCACTGCTCTGGCCAGGTTTAACCCCTTCTAGCTCTAACGCACTGTCGATGAGCTCAGCTTTCTTCCCAAAGTACCTGAGAACCGCTGTCAGGTCTGAAGCCCTCCTAGGTGTTTGGTCTCTGGCCCAGTGAGGCCGTCAGACGTTTCACCACCTGGGAAGTGCCTGGCGTGGCCTAAGTTGGGAGTTTTCAAGTAAATTCTTTTCCTTGATAATAATAACTTACCTCCATGCTGCCAGCTTTCCAAATAAGCCTACTCTGTAAATAATCCTATAGCTCAAGTTCATTATCCCGGGATCTTACGCTGGTTACACATACGGGAAAGAAAATGTCTTTGAGCAGCTCTAATTTACCTGCATGTTAACTTTGGGTCCTGCCTCTTCCCCTCTCCCTGTGCCTCCAGTTTAATGATTTGAAAGGGGGCTGGGGGAATTAATGACGTTCACACATGCAAAGAAAGCTAGAGAAAAAGGAAGAGAGAGGAGAGGGAGGAGGAGAAGGGAGGAGAGGGAGGGAGGGAGGGAGGGAGGGAGGACTGCTTTCCATGCAACAGCAATAATTATGACAAACACATTAGTCCAGGACCACACTTGATGAATCTGCAAGCTGTGGATGGGGAAAAAATGTTAAATGTCACTGAGGAACATAAAGAAGATTTTTAAAAAGATTTTATTTATTTATTTTTAGAGAGGGAAGGGAGGGAGAAAGAGAGAGAGAGAGAAACATCAATGTGCGGTTGCTGGGGGCGGTGGCCTGCAACCCAGGCATGTGCCCTGACTGGGAATCGAACCTGTGATGCTTTGGTTCGCAGCCCATGCTCAATCCACTGAGCTACGCCAGCCAGGGCTGGAGGAAGATTTTATTGTATGTCTTTCATTCACTTTCAATTTTGAACAAGGGGGATATGGCCTCTTCAAAGAACAACTTTAACTGGATGTGGGGAGCCCAGAAACTCTCCAGGGTGACTGGTTCTCTGGGGTCCCCCAGGGCAAGCCCGAGGCTAGGACCCATCCAGGAATGACACGAAGTGTTTGTGTGTGTTCTGAGCATTAGAAACAATTACATAACCCTCCGTGCCTCCAAAATTTCATACCGAGAAGGTTCGAGGCAATTGACCACAATTTCCCTGCTGCGCGGGGTTGCGTGTGTTTCAGAGCGGGAAGGCATTCCTTCAGAAAAGCTAAGACCCAAGAGTGTCTTAAAAGGTCACTCTAATTCCATTTCAGCTCAAAGAGATGTTTTTTTTTCTAACTAAAGCTATGAACTTGCTCTAGAACATCAGACGGATTTCGTACCTTCTTACCTTAGGCAGGTGCTCCCGCGACGGTTGCGCTCACGGCCTCCTTTGGTGTGGAGAAGGCCCCCACAGGCCTCTGCGCACATGGAGAGTTGTATATCTACCGAAACCACGGGCTGCACCTGAGAAATACCAACCTGAGGTTACCTGGGCGGGGGGTGGGGGTGGGGATATGATGCATCGGGGAGCTGGGATGCTTTCATAGGGGCTGCGGGTCAAACTGGGCTTCCCACGCAGAGGTCCCCCCTGACCCGACATTGCCCACTCCGAACACGCTGGGCATCGGGTCAGCCTGAGAAAGAGCTTTCGAATCAGGAAGACCCGGATTTGAACCTGCCACATTCCAAAACCATCCTGGCCCAGGGGCTGCGAGGATAGCGATGGACTTCCATTAGAGCAGGTACCGGAGAGCCGGACCCACGCCCGTGACAGCACTTGGTCAACGAGCGTCCCGGAAGCACCATGAGGACAGAAGACCCGGGAGTGTCTCCAATGTCATGAGCCCCACGGAAGCTTCCTCGTCAGCTGCCTGGAAGAGAGGGGTACCCGCCCGCACCCGCTTCCTGGTGAGGATGGGTAACGGGGCTCCAGCCAACGGGATGGGGCCCTGGGGCCAGATCAATTTAAATTTAAAAAACAAGAAAATGTAACATTTGTTGTCCAGCTGAGTTAGCGGAGTAAAATAATCACCTACTACATTTTTATTGTTATTAGTGTTTGGTTAATAGTTTGTGGGGAGACTGTCTTTGGGGTGTTCCGCACTGCTGACCCACCTAACATTATGTGTCCATCCACGGGACACACTTGTTCAGAGCTGGTGTCTGCCTGCCACCCACCCCTCAGCCCTGCCTGTCGCTGCCTGCCTACCACCTTGGGGTGTGTCAACGCACTTCTTGACCCATGCTGGGTCAGGGCCCAACGGTGCTCCCAGACGCACTCCCGTAGCTCCACCCCCATCCCCAAATGGGTTGGTCCACCCATTCCCACATCTGCAAGCTGAAGCCCCAGTAGGGGACCAAAAGAGAGCAGAAGGGTCTCTCCTTGGCCCACCCGAAGGAACCGAAGTCTCAACTGAAGGAGTCACATAAGGTAGATCCAGTCCACTTTGAGAGCTTCTTTAACCTGGAGTTGTATGCACCGAAGAACAATGTTGATCGAGCATGACTGACCCCATGTGTTGGAATAAGAACTATTTTAAGCTAATTTGAGCACAAGCGTATACACCCTGGATACTCGCTGGGGGCTTGCCGTGGTCCCCGTGGACGCTCAGCATCAAGGTGGCGCTGAGAAAGCTGAACCGGGGCCAGGTGAGAGAGCAGCCTGCTGCCGCCTGGCCTGTGCTGCGCATGCTCCTTTTGCACTTGGGGGCGATCTTGGTGGGAGCCCCTAGGACTAAGCCCTCATCACCTGCACCTGGAAAGGCTCAAGCTCCTTGCGAACAGCGTGTCACAAGAGGCCCCACTCCCTCTCCTTCGTCCCTTACAGTGCTGGCTGCCCCTTGCAAGTCATCCAATCAACAAACGGGGGGCTTCTCCTCGCCTCTTGTTAAGCTCTGGGCACGGCTTTCCGATCTGTGGCTACCCATACAGTACACACGTCTGTGCACGCATACACATACATGTGCACACGCACACACATACACACATCTTTTTTCATCCATTTGAAAGTCAGTTGCAGACATCAAGACACATGTGTATACACACACACACGTGTAGACCCTTGCACGCAGTGTGCAAGCGCACACGCACTGGAATATACTAAAGAACACCAAGGCGGCACCCCTGACTCCCAGCCCCAGCCCACACGCCCCCTCTCACGATGCACACTGTTCAGGGCCCGGGCAAAAGAAGTGTGTCTCCACCATTTTTGCCCCATGTTGTCAAAACAGAAAATAAGTGTGTCCAGATGCTGGGAAGGACTGTGGGCTGTGTCCCTGTTGATTTGGGAGACAGAGGCTGCTTCTGAATGCGGGCAGGCTTGGGTGCTGGGGCAAGAAGGAAGCCTTGTCCACCCCTCCTCTCCGAGAGCAAGAACGCTGCAGATTCTTACGTGATCATGTGTCATTTTCCAGAAGTCCTAACGTTCGTGCTTCTGCTTCTCTTACGTGGCAGTGTGTGCCGCTGGAGATACTCACCGATTAGCGCCATGTTCCCAAACGGTTGCTCACAACAGCTGGAGAATGTTGTCCAGTATTACATAATTGCTATTACTCCCAAATCTGCATAACACAGGTCTAGACAAACCCACAGGACACTTAGGGTAGGTTTTTCACGTTGCCAAATATGTTAGACTTGCAAAGGGTTTTGTATTTATTAAAACATTTTGCCCTGGCTGGTGTGGCGCAGTGGATTGAGTGCCAGCCTCTGAACCAAAGGGTTTCGGGTTTGATTCCCAGTCAGGGCACATGCTTGGGTTGTGGGCCAGGTCCCCACTAGGGGGAGTGCTAGAGGCAACCACACATTGATGTTTCTCTCCCTCTCTTTCTCCCTCCCTTCCCCTCTGTGTAAAAATAAATAAAATCTTGAAAAATATAAAATAAAATATTTAATAATATTAAAATTAAAAATACATTGTGCTGTATTTGAGTAGTTCTAGTTTAAAGTTTTATATTAATGAAAATCCGCATTCCGTCCTTTAATAAAAGATAATTGTAAATATTTTAGAAGAAAAAAACAAGTAGGAAACATCAAAAATTTTTAATTTTTTGTCCTTTATATTTTTTATTACATTTTATGAAAACATATTCACATTTTACATACTTTGAATTCAATCACATTTATTTTTCAATGCTTTAGCTCATTACTCTCAATAGAAAATATTGTGTGATAACTTGGATCATAGTGATATAATCAGCAATTTTGCTGAAAGGAAG